TTATGCATCAGACCGATAGTAGACAATTTTGAGCTTAAATCAAGCAAGTTCAGCCTGCGAAAGGGGGCCAATTTTTGGCCACAATGAGGGCATTCCTTGGCCGAAATTCACATGGAGAGAAGTGCCAAATTGAGCTTAGTTCAATCTAATTTCAGCCCGTGAGATTTAATTAGCAAAGGTCTTAAATTAACTTAGCCCTTTATCTTAATAAGGCCTATAATAACTTAATAAGCCCGTGAAATTGAGGTAAGACCCAGGTTAATCTTATAAATAGGCACTTACGCCTCATAACCTGAGGTCAACAATTCATTATTCAAAGAATACACGAGTGATACACGTGAGGGAGAGAGGAAAGAGAGAGAGAGTACCCCCACTCCACGGCCAGACTTGTGGCCACGCCTCTGAGCCACCGGCTGCTCTATGATCGCACGTGCAACCCCAGCGAGCCCCTCGCCAACACCACCGCCCATGCTGTCCTTAACGTTGTCACTGCCTCAACCCAAGCGACGAAGCTGCTGATCTGACCACGAAACAGCAGCTCGAGCCTATTGGGGCTAACGATACAACCTAGAGGGGGTGAATAGGCTGTTGGGACCACGAAATTCTGGAAAGATATGGTGATGAAAAGTACGAGGCTCAGTGTTGGAAAGGAACGGGAAGTATTAGAGCCATCCAAGATTGCAGCAACCAAACAGGGTACCATTTTCTTTGGACCTCATAGCTGCAGATGCATGAGTAAAGCCTCTGTACAGTGTAGTTAGAATAAGTGGACCCAGGGCGATTGTCTTACCCGCTGCAAGATAAGAAGCAATATAAAGAAAGTCCCTAGATACTTTGAGCGATGGATTGAAAAAGATATACTTGGAAAACCAGTAAAGCAAAAAGGCCGTGCACTCGTTAGAATTGATGGGAACATAAGTGCGGCAAAATCGATCGAGGAATCTACCATAAGCAAGGGCACTCTCAGGAAATAAGGAACCTCAGTGGAGTCCATGTCATTTACAAATATACCATTGGGAGAAAAACCAGCTATGGCAAAAATATCTAAAAGAGTAATTGACATAGGACCCCATGGAAAGAAAAAACAGTTGGTCAAGGGGGACCAAAAGCTGATAGCGGTGCCTAGAAGCCCAAAGTTCAAATCGTAAGACAATATGCTAACCTCCAAAGCGGTTGCTATTTTGGCTCTTCTCTAGGCATGTTGTGCATGTATATCACTCTTCATCCGTAAATAGCACCTATGAAAATCGAATTCGAAAGAAAGGAAACCCCATAATCGAGAAGGAGTTGTAGTCCAAACATCCATAATGGAGGGTCTTTGAATGGGAAGTCGCTCTTCACGTGTTTTGGGAAAACAAGGCCCGAGAGAAGTTGGTATTTGTTGGTGTTTAAGGAAGCAAGGACCAAGAACAAGACTTTCAGGATATCCATCGACTAAATTTAGAAGGCGGAAACGGCAATTGCTACAGTGCTCATCTCTTTGCAGATCATCAAAATTGGCAATGTAGCTTGCGATAGAATATTGAGGAGCGTTGGACACCAGGAGGAATAGTAAGGTAACGGACAAAGGAGGAACTCAAGGGTTTTAGACCAAAGGGCAGTAGGGTTTAAGAAAGAACACGAAAGAGGTATAAAGGTCAGATTTTTGCGTATGTACACTTGGCCGAGATAAATGGAAAAATTAAAGATGGCGATCCATATGATACACAATCATGATTTGTTATCCTTAAGTAATCAGGAGCGACATGTTGAAACGCTACAGGAGATCACAAGCTGACCGGCTGCACACGAAGTACGAAGCGTCAGAAGAAAGGACGCATGTCAGGGTCATCTGCAAAGAGGCGCGCGCGAACAAGGTATTATCTTCAAAAAAATTAAATTTGAAATTTAATCCTTTTTGAGAGAGGGTATATGTTGACACCAAAAATTCATAGTTTAGTCGCAAGATGTTCTTCTTGCAAGCAACTTTTGATGATCGAAATTAGGGCACAAGAAAATATGACAACTAAATTGTGACTTCTCACAATCCATCTTAATTTTGGTCTCTAGGGTCCGGTGTTTCCGAAGTGCACTGATGGAATCTAGTCCTCAGGTAAAGAGCAGCGTCACCCCCGGTGCGGCGAACTCAAAGCATGGCCCTCAAAAGTTGAATTTGCACCAACAAACAAAGCTCACGTTTTTCCAATTGATTTCAGGTCTAAGCTCGAACTTTCGATGCTCGACGGCACCGTGGTCTTCTCACGTTGTCTTTGCACTGCAGGAGAGTTGCTTAATGAGCCGATCTCTTCCATTGCGGAGAGAATAAACAAGGCGGTCGAGCGGGTGAATGAAGACTATGGGTGGTCAAGGATCAACCATATGGACATGCATGGATTTGAAGAGTTCGCACTGAGCACCCTACATATAAGTTGATGGACAGAGCTAGATTATGGCAACAGAGACTTTAGGTGGCGAGAGCCAAGGCAGTTCGAGACTGGTGACTTGCTGAGTAGCTAGAGTTGGCAAAATGGGTCATTTACCCGTATGTTTACTCAAAATGGTAAAAAGTGGAGAGTCTCCACTTAACTCGTGATGCAGCTAACAAAACACCTCGTGCGAGGACTTACAGTCACCGAACGGACTTTTATTTTTTTGGTCGAATAGCGGACTTTTATTGGGAGGTGAATATTGGCGGTGAAAGAAAGCCCTTTTCACTTGCAGTCTTCACTTTTTCCCATTTTTCACTTCTTTATTCGTTGGACTTCTCCATACCATTTCATGCCCCCCTCATTCAAGTGTGTGGCTGTGGAGGGGCTGCATGCGCATGAGATATCTTTTCGGTTCGTGTGACCATTTTAGAGATGATTTTGGCACGATAGTGATACTATTATTTCCTACATTTTTGTTCAAAAAGCAACGCTATTCCAAGGATCACATTACACGTAGAACAACAGTTCACGGATCTAATTGAAATGATTGAAAATTTTGGAAATGACTTTGTAATTTGCAGAAGAAGTTCAGAGGCCAGCGATGCCATTATCCCAAATTTCGACTAGAGGGATGTCGTATTTCAATAGGACAATGCCAGCAATCGACGTGGCCATGTTCTGTAATGCCCAATTCAAGCTTGGTGTGTGAAAACTAAACTTAGAATATCATTCGATTGCAACATAGAAGTGAAAACCCTGTTTGAACTCGCTCAAAACATTCTTGTATTAATCCTTTTCCAAATGAAAAGTAATAGTATGGTAGCACATATTCACAAGTGATTAGAAAAGCGTAGACGGCAAAACCCAGCTAAGAACGTGACAGCAAAGATGTCGTATATAAAAAGGGCTCGATGCACCGATCCTGTGAAGGATTCTTGTACTTCGGAAACGGTCGTCACGGAAACAACAGCAGTTTTTGCTGTTAAAGTCGAGGTTTCACAGCACATCAATTGCTGGTTTATTAGTTACATGGAGTTCAGTGACCGACTTGTGGGGACAAAGGGTATAAATACAGCTTGCTTTAAGGTGGATTGACTAAATGTGACGCCGAAAGATGCATGCTATTCTCGTCGAAAGCACATAGTAATGATTGCTAAATTGCAAAACGATCGTCTTGAGAGGAATCGATGTGTTTGAGCCTTTGTATTCGCCAAGAGGGTCCTCTGATGAAATCTGAACAAGAACTTGCATCTTAAAGCTGTGAATATATTGCGATGAATCGAGAATCGGGAGGGTATATTGATCACAAGAATTAACGTCAAGTAAGTTTGAATCCCCTTCCACATCCCTGGAATCGAACCAACCGATTCTGAGTGGTTCCCGAGAGGACCAATCCAATTCCCAATTCCATATAAGTAACTAGACCGACAAGTCAAGATTTCTTAATTTTTCTTTATATTTTGAAGCAAACCCTAATTAGTAAATTGGTTTTTTCTTTTGAGAAACTCTCATTTGTAGGGAATGAAAGAAATTTAAATAAAAAAGAAGAAGAAGAAATCACCGGTTCTTGGACAGTTTCGGTCCAATTCCATAACCGAGTGGGCCGATTCCCGATTCGATAAACGAGGAACCGACCCTTGCCAGGTCCGGTTCCAAGTTCCGGGGTGAGATCCAACCCACCCTGAATTCGATAACCCTTTACTATGGATCAATTAGAAGTGCAGTTGTTAATACATCACTTGGCAAATTCACAAGTGGCGAACAAGAAACCGCAGTATGATAAGAACGTGGAAAAATCAAAGTGACTACTGATGCTCATGCGCCGCCCTTGCTTATCCAGAAAGTTTGCTTTTTCCGGCTGATCCAATGCCCCGCTCGTTGGCTCGTCTTAAAAAAGCGAAGGGTTGGTCAACAGACCAGATACGCGTAACTAATCATCGTAGTACATGAGGATTAAAGATTAACCCACAAAGGTTGTCCTCCGAGATGAAAGCAAAAGGCCGCAATCGCCTCGTTGACTTTTAGACGAACACCTTCGGAGTCATTATTAGAATGATTGACACCGAGAATTGAATCTCCTCTCTCATCCCATGTCCCAACTGTTTATCATCAATTTTTTTTTTTCGCCTTCAGATATTAGCAGATTTCCTTTTTCCCTTCTTTTTTTCCCGATTTTTCGCAGTTCGTTCGGGAGGTGCATCTCTTGATCCACGTGACCTCCCGGATATTTTGCTTTTTAATCGAGAGAGTGTGACGATCCGATCATCTCATGCGAATGAATTCCTAATGATCTCCAGCCATACATAAAAACTATATAATAAGAAGAAAAAAGAAAAAGGCTTATTCTTTTCCTCACGGGCCAACGAAACAAAAGACCCGTGCGAAAAAGCTGTCGCTCGCAAGTTCTCTCCAGCATTTCTGCACTGTTTTTTTGTGTGGGGGAGAGTCGGCGAGAAACCCCCAGCATTCGTTCCTCGCCTTCCTCGCACGCACACAGAAAATCATGCCGAAGCCCCGGAGATAGTTTCGAATCCGATTCGGTCCGATCAATCGCGCGTTTCGATGGGAGAATAACGGAAATGAAATTACGAATCGGTCAAAAACTCCGTCACATTGTAATCAAAATGGTTCAATGTGAACAACCTCTCCGTTCCTTCTTTTTTACAGGAGACGAGACAAGACAACAACGCGAATAATTACAGGAGAAAGTGGAGGAGCGAACCTACAAATCCGAAATGAATCATCAATCCTTCGTCAATGCAGTTCATAATGAACGAACGAACGAACGAACGAACGATCGGGCCAGGCAGGATCGTTATTAATCTATATATACCCCGGTGCCTTCTTCGATGGTGCTCAGCCTAATTCTAAACGAACGGACCGCCCTCTTGAACCTCCGTGACGACTGCCTCTGCAACTTCCTGACCGATCCGGATCTGGGCAGCGCCGGAGCCGCCTTGTCGATCCTATTGCCGTTCCTCGTGACCCCGTGCTCGTTGATCTCGCTGTAGTCCGAGACGGCCCTCTGATTAACGACCAGGACGGGCGCGATCTGCGTCCTCCTCCGCGGCCGCCGGAGGCCCCCGCCTTTCCTCGACGCCCCCTGCATCGCGACGCTGGCCTTCACGGCGAGCGCCGCCATGTCCGAGGCCGTCAGGCGGTGCTGGAGCTTCGACTTGGGGAGCACGAAGTAGATCTGGTTCTGCACGAGCTCGTCCTCGTCGGCCAGGACCGGGATGAACTCCTCGTAATACAGCGAGTCGGAGTTGCACACGAAGCGCGAAGAAGAAGAGGACGAGGAGGAGGAGGAGGAGGAGGAGGAGGATCTCTCAGATTCGAGGACCTGAGAGACCCTGATGGGGACGCTGTACTCGTGCAATTCGCCGGTGATGGAGATCACCCGGGCCGCCGCCCGGTCGTCTTCCAGGTCCTGCGAGAAGCAACAGCCCATTTCCAGACTGACGGAACCGGTGACGAGGAGGAGGAGGATGATGATGATGGCGGCGATTTTGCGCTGCGGAGGTTCGAGCAGAGAGAGAGAGAAGAGAGGGGACGCGAGTTGTACGCGGGAGTGAGGTGAATGGGGGAGAGGGGAGGGGAGAGAAGGGGCGATATTTAACAGAGAAATGGCGTGAGCGCAGTCGTCGTCACGGCTAAGCTGAAGTCGCCGTCTGACAACCTGCGCCTCTTCCGTCAGTTGTTAACGGAGGAGCGGTGGGGGTGGGGAGTGGGGAGCGAGTGCTTAACGGCGGGTCAACGGACAGAGCGGTGATTGACTTGGGTGGGGAGTCGTGGCGCCGTGACGTGTCTGCTTACGTGGGGGGTTGCACCTTGACGCGATCGCGACGACTCCCGCGGGCGGAAGGATTGAGTGAAGCCCAAGAAATTTCTGGGGACGCGTGTGCGATTTGGCCGTGTCCCGATGTACGAGTTGGATTTTGTCGCCTCGTACGGATTTCGCTTTCTCGGGGGTAATTATTATGGTCAGGAAATTAATATTGGACTAGAAAAATAATTCAAAGCAAAAACGAATAACTGAAAAAAAAAATTAAAAACGATCACTCGTATCTTTTATAAAAATAAACGAACGACAAGATATTTTTTACCGATTAATCATTTCAAACAATACAAGTAATCATTTTTAGAAAAATATTTTTCTAATAATTTATTTTTCACGAAACGAACGGAGCCAAAACTGTCCCTTTAATTTCCGTGAATTGATTAAGCAATCTTTTTAATATCCATGAATTGGTTAAAATTACCATTTGAGTTTGCATAATCATACTTCAGAATAGGAATGGTAATGGGGCAGGGCGAGTACAAGGGTTGCATCCCCCTGTCCCAGTCCGGTGCCTCACATTAGGCATAGTGGAAATGTGGATTTTCCCGCGCCCATTTTCTCCGTTCCATAATAATTTCAAATTTTAAAATAAATTCTTCAACCAACATAATTTAATTTATGTAATAATCTCTGGAAAAAAATTTTGCAGTTGAATGAATCATTTATGGAAAAAGAAATATGAGTTTATAATTCTTTGATGAGAAGAAGGGAATAAATTATTGGAAATATCCATATTAATATTGCAATATATGAAAAAAAACAAAAACAAAAAACTTTTTATTGCCAGAGTAATACGACTTATATAAAATGAACTAGATTAATACTAGAAATCTCCAATATCTAAACATAGGATCGCGAGTAGGTGCAAGGCGAGTTTATGGGGCGAGTCCAACCGTATCCATACCCACTTTGCATACGAGGTAAGAAAATTCACCCGCTCTCCATCTTAAGACTCATTGGTTGCGGGTTTTACTCGCCCCTTTCAGGACAAGGTAGTGCAGATTTCCGACGGAGTGGATAAAACTATCATCTTTATTTTCAGACGTTCCTATCGATGTATTAAAAATTTGAAATACAAGAACACGATTCTTATAATTGATTTAGGTTTTGTTTAAAAATAAAAATATATATATAGTGTGACTTTTCCTTTACACACGAGTGATTTTGACCGTCAAATCCATTGATATGCATCCATTTCCATGTCAATTGACCATTCGTACATGCGTTTCTCGATCTGAAGGATGCAATAGTCTTTCAATTTCTTTTTTGTTTTCCTTCCTAAAAAAAGGTTTCTTTTTCCAACCTTCTAGAGACCGTATCCCAACTGACCAAAACAAAAAAAAAGAAGAGACCGTATCCCTAATTGCACGGTTTTTGAAATATGGAGGAGCGTAAGAATCACAAAAGTATATCTATGGTGGTGGAGAATTAGATACTTTATCATATCCAACCGATGGTTCCGTCACTTCCCCGTCATTCTTCCACTTTGGATGTTCAAAACTTTTAGTTAATTAAACAAATAGATGCGGAAGAAATAACCCCATCGCTTTCCCTCTCTAGAAAAATTAAAGTCATCCATTCAGAGTAATTGCGAGCATTTAGTGGCGGATTTTCAAACCAACCATCATTTGTTAGACTAACATAAAGATCCGCGGTGAATTTATCAAAGTGCGCGAAAACTAAACTAGAAGATCTAAGGAAAAGGAGGGTATTAGACGCTAACTAAATTCCGTGAATGTAGTAGACCCACCCAGATAAATAATTGCTATAAATGTGCAGATTGCACCAGCTCCTGCGAAAGAGCTAGTCCGATTAGGAAACTACTTTGACTGGGGTATCTAGGTTCAACGCACGGAATGTTCCTTAGTGGAAGCACGAACGCCGGTCAACGTCCCCCTCGCCATTTAATGCCGTCGGAACGGAGCGAAACAGTGACACTGTGAGCCGCAGTTTCGGACTGCGTCCCGCTCGCGGGTGGGACACATATTTCGGCGCGTGTGGAAAGCTTCCGAGCAAAACGACCCGAAAAGAACTTCCTCCGAGCCTCCTCGAGATGGGCCCTGCCTGCGCCACCCCACTCGACGGTCATTAAAATAATCGGTTTCTCCGATGCTTCTCTCTCTTTTTCGTCGGTCGCTTTCGGGGTCCAACATGCTCCTCGAACGTTGAAAAGGCGAAGCGTGTCGCACCGAATTGGAACCGTTCCCTTGGTTCTTTAAGTCGAGATTTAGGTTTTCTGTTGGCAGTTTGATAGAATCTGATTCACCCACGACTTGGATTCTCAGTTCGGTGATGCGCAGAAGTTCGGAAACGGTCAACCAGCACGTGTAGGGCCTGTTCCTTTGACAAGTACGCTCTGACTACAGAGACGATCGAAGGACCGTTTCGATCGGTCGACGCTGCCCATTTTCGAAATACCGAATTAGGAAAAGGGCTTCCAACTGGAGTCAACCCTTCGAACGTCATTGCTCACCTAATGAAGGCATTGACCCGTTTAAGCGACGCGTGCGTAGTGCATCAAAGCTTGGCATTGACCGGGTCTTGGGATGAAGTAAGGCCAACTAACTGTTGGAGGCAATATCGGGGTGCTTGAATTTCCAAGAAGGCAAGTCTCAGATTGTTGATGACCACGGATCGCTTGGAATTTGCATTTGGACGTATATAGCAGCACGCCTGGCTTATTGGATTGTCCACACCCTCTCGAAATCTCACGGTATGCCATCGGGTCCGGGTATTACATCGTAGCGAGTGTCGTACGCTTCTAGTGCAAATGAGACCAACTCCCATTTTCTATTAGATCGAGTTGATCCCACATGGGCCGACCTCATTCGATAATTCATGTCCGCTGAATTGGGGATGAGATGAGTGACCAAAAAAAATTTTTGGGGGTGGGAACTCAAAATTGATAAAAACTTATTTTGATAATGAGGATCTTCAAACGGGGTAAAATGGGATGATAAGGGATAAGGTTTATGCGCACACATCCAGTCTCATTGAGTATCGAGTGCGTGGAACCTCATCGCAAATTGTTGATGCACAAATTGGACATCTCATGTTTAGTCGGCTAATAAACTCCTTAGCCTTTGATTGTACAGAGGATCATTTTGATGCTTAAGTTAGAATAAGTACGAAACAAGGAATGAACATTGCATGCTAGGGACCGTAAGTCTTTTCTCGACAACTTGACATGTATATGTAGTAGACCTCCCTTGTCGGGATGAGATGTTCTCCGAGATTGCGCTTATCCCCTATTTGGTCCCCCAAAAAAATAGTATTAGAATATAACTAACAACCTTGTATTAGGACAGCAATTGTTTAACAATCAATTTGCTATAATGTGACACGCTTGGGAAGCTCAGGTCAGATAGGACGATCCATTTGCCCCACTTCATAGTATTAGCACGAGCCACTTTGTCAAAGACATTTCATTCAACATAGGCCTCAAATTGAAGCCCAAAACACTTGTAGCCTTGAATTAATTTTATGGGGGCTAAAGTCCAACTCGTTGCTCTTCTGATTAAACAGATTATAGATGGACATCGAATTGTCGATATGGACCGGAATGTTGGCCCAAAACCAAAAATCTCATGATTCCTACTAGATTCTTGGTTGGGATTGTTGACTAGATGACTGTTAGTTGGTAAGTCCATTATTAAAAAGCAGCCCCAATACAAGAAATTGATGTGGAGATGCTCGAGGAATCGAGAGGGAATGAAATGTGCTGAGATGTTTTCCTTTTTAGAAGATGTAGAAAACATAGAAATTGAAATCTTCTGTCTCCCCACCAAAAAAAGAAAAAGAAATCCATCATTGATGCTATTACTAGTCAGGGATGTTTCCGCTTGGCCAAAGCAACAGAGACGTAGGAAAGATGATAAGAAGGTCACAATAACGTTGATGCTTTAACTAGCAAGAGAGACCGAAGAAAGTAATGCGTGGCCACCTGCCTTTCTAGGTCTCTAGATTCCGCCACGTCTCCATACTCATCTACTTTATAAAAATGATGGCATTATAATGTGATGGAAGCGAGTTGATTGCAATTCATTCAAGCGACGTGACTATCGAAACGGAGAATCAACTTCTTACATACTGGGTACTTCCGAAACATCTCAATTAGTCCAATTCTCGCCGATCTGAATACATGACGATTAATCCGATTCATAAGCTACTTTTGCTGCATCGGGTGTCTGTTTATGCAAGAGTACATTAGTGGGAAGATGTTAGTGGCACACAATCTGGACAGGGATGTCCTTGTCTTAACGGGAATTGCGTGTCCCTTGGGTCTCCAACTTGATGTGAATCGACGCCTTTTTGATTTTCGACTACACTATCTAGAATTTTGGGCTGACCACGAAAGAGCTCGATCAACATCACCCCCACTTGGCTCAGCTCGGGCTGTTCTAACGTGCGGTCCAAAATGGTGCAGACATCGTCATCAAACAAGCCCTCCACCGCCATTTTCCTGTTGCTTGCTTTTAGATTTCTTACATGTTGCCCCGTTCAACGATGGAGTGGTGTCTACTGTCCAGTTGATATAATGACCACTATCCACCTTCGTATTAAAGCGAATCGTCTACGGCTGATGATTGTCGTCCGATTTGAGTTTTCTGATTTTTTTTTATCATATTCCTGAGATTGCAATTCTATCCATTAACGCGTGAGTAACAATCGCGCCATGATATAACTCACTAATCACGTAAAATATTCAATTTTTTTAACCAACCTATATATGGATATATAAATGTGTTTCGTACGATAAATGTTCCGTATCGGGTTCACATCCAAAGATATACGTGCCAAATTAGTTAACAACGCCACTTAGCACTTGGTGCATGTGAATTTCAAATTAATCTCATGCCATGCATGCTATAAATCCTTCTGTGTCTCCAATCCCATTGATCGAGATTCTCCCAACTCGATCATTAACCATTCTCCGAAAAAAATATATAAAACCTTCGAAACTTCATCATATATGAATGTGCATAAAATATGCTTCCATGTACATCACATCCATATGCAACTCCATTATTGCTATTCTATTAAACAAAAAGAGAACCTTCATGAACTGTACAAGGACCCACTATAGAATATCTTACCACGCCAACTTTGAAAATAAAATCCCCAAACTTTATTATCCGATGAAACAAAATCAAAAGCACCGTTTCTCAGCAAAAACCAAGCCCCACAAGAAAAACAACCCTATATTCTCCTACCTTTACCCCACATTGCACTCCACTTTTTTCTTCTATATAGATATAATGAAATTCCTATACTTCTTCCATCTAGCTAATCCACTTTTTCTTTAGGGTGCATTTCCTTAACTTCTAATAAAATGGGGCACGGCGAGGTACGCCCTTCCTTTTCCTGGAGTTATGGTGATTGTACACGATGGGAGTAGATGGAGAAAAGTTGGTGCCGATGCCATCTTCAGAGCTAGCGGTCTGAGACTTCTGCTCACCGTCCGTCTTCTTATCGTGATGATCAACAGGCGGCAATGAGATGGTGAGCCCGTTCATTAGGCGGTTGAAAAACGGCTTCCTCTGAATCTTGTTGGGTGTGGACAACTCGTCTGATCGGGAGCCACTGACGAGCTCGCCGCGGCCTTGGTTCGTCCTCGGGGCAAATGTGAGCATTGGGTCACCTTTCCTGATTGCATTGAGCTGAAATAAATGAATAAGCAAAAGCAATGAGAATCTGGTTAACTCACCATTTGACCAAAACAACACAAACACTAAACTAAATAGTAAAAAGCAAATAAACTGAAACGAAATTGCTCAGCAGATTCAAACAAGAAGGAGCGAATGAAATCAAGGATATCAGAGTTCATTAAAGGCAGGGTGTAAACAGAGCATTTTATTGTTACTTGCATGCAATTTGAAATAAGATCAATTTCTCAAAAGAAGGTTTGGATTGAACAGTATCTCAAATAAGGCCTTGAAGTGTCCAACTTAATCTCAAATAAGTCCTTCAGCTCCCCGTGCTTTTCAAGTGCACTTCACGAGCATCTTTCCGTGCACGATACGCTCATACTCATCGGCCGATCAATTCATGACCTCATTTAAGACAAGATCTATTTAGGCCCTCTTTAACGGCCACACTTCAGTCTCTTATTTAAAATTTTCCCAAAATTCTACATCAGAAAAGCAAATGCGGATTTGGAAAATCAAAATTGTGAAAACAAATTCTTTTGGTTGGTTAGACATAAAATAACCTAACGTGAGCAAGGCCGCAGAGAAGTTAAAGAAGGTAGGAATTGATTAAAAATATCTGCATCAGAAGAAACACGAAATCTATCACGTCAGAACTTCAGCAGCAAGCACTTCTTCCACAAAAAAAAGCAGTCATCCAAGGTGTGTTAGAAAGCTACAATTTTTTGAGTTGGTTGAACAGAGAAAGAACAGAGTTCATCAATCACCTTGCAGCCCATAGAGCAGAATCTGAAGGAGTCAAGGAGACTTCTGCAACAAATCTCACAAGTGTTGGTCACTCCCTTCCCAAGCCTCGCCTGTAGCCTCTCATTGAGGAACACCACCTTCGCACTGTTGATGATGTATGTCTGAATGTTCGAGATGTCGATGTATTTCTGAATCTCGCTCACCCTCACCACATTGTGGTAGGAAGATATCCTTATCTGCAAGCCCCAGAAAATCAAACAAAAGCCGATCGATCAGCCATAAAAGTCAAAACTCTCACTCATAAAAATCAAAACTTTGACCACATTTCCATCAGAACTCTTCAATTGTCGCTTCACCCAAGAAAAAAAAAAGGGTTCTTTTTTATGAATGAGAGGCTAATGAGTCGTGCATAAAACGGTGCACCTGAAGCACATGATGGTCTTTGTGATCGACCAGACAGTAAGAGCAGAAGGCATTCCCAATGCAGTCCAAGCAGAACATATTGCATTCGCTCCTGTGAGAGTCTCCATGAACAGAGCACGGTCCGAAGAAGTCCGCTTCCAGCATTGGTATCAGCCACGGAGGACCCATTTCGCCGTTCCCCATTTGACCAATCGAATTCACCTGCGACGACACGAATCACAGACCAAAAGAAAGAAAAAAAAAAACAGAGAGGAACAGGTCAAGCCCAATCAAAACCCCCTCATCCAAAAGCATTCAATAGAGATGGCGATGGGAAGAGAGAGAGAGACGGAGAGCGAAGCGAAACCGCACACCATTTGAGCGCCTCTCGGTGGGTTTCGGCTCTGAAGCGATGCAATGGTCTGTCTTGGTCAGGGGGGCTGGGTATATATCCAGTCGGTGAAGCTCCAAAACGAGAAACTAATCAATTTCGGCCCAAAAAAGGATTGAAATTTCTTACTGGAAATGGAAATGGAAATGGCCAGCAGGCGAATGATTTTTGGAGAGATGAGGACGCTGACCCTGGTTCAGAGGAAAGGGGGGGAAGGGAGGGAGGGTGGGGTGGCTTGCAGATACTGCTGGCGAGACTAGAAAAGGAGAAGCTTTTTAGATGGAAGAGAATTTATATGGCGGTCGCAAATGAAATGCTGTACTGCTATTCAGATTATTCTTCCCCTTTTATTTTTCATTTTTCTTTATTATCTAATTTTGTACCAACAAACGAAATTAAGGGTTGAAAGGAAACGTGCCCTAGTTTGGCAGCAAGCCAAAAAGGATCGGACGGGTATTAAAGTAAGACAGCAACGTTGTGGGACTGCGCCGTTTTCCGACCGTCCGATCAATTTTTTCCTGTCGCTGTCTCCTTTCCGGGGGGAACCTTTCGGCTCGCATCGGACGTTGACCATTCGCCGGGGAAGAGTGTGTTGTGCTACGTGAGCCGTCGGATCGCGGGGCGGGCCCCACCGCGGTCCAAGCCGACGAGATGACGCCGCCTTTCACCTGGTGGGACGTGGAATCCCACGTGTGTGAACCAGGCCGCACCAACTCCCACGTCCCTTTTCGGCCCCAAGATATTACAAAAAAAAAAAATAGAAAAATGCCTCTTTTTGGTTATTGGACACTACAAAATAAAATTCTTTAATCCTTCTGTCCTGGTCCCCAAGTCAAACCACGAGACTTGGAAACCCTAATTTGTCTTTTGGGCATATGGGGTTCTTCATTCCCACCAGGTTTCTTAGTATTTCGAGCTCTTGATTTTTCACTTTCTTCTATATTTAGAATTTTGTAATTTGCAAAACATGTAATGTCGGGTAAAGACATAACATGTCTTAGTCACTTCACTCGCATATAGTTTGTAGCGGGGAAAAATGCTGCCATAATAAATTCGAGATATTTGCAAGTTACCGGTGACGCCGCGGCGAATCGGTAATTAGTTAAGGAGATATATAAATAATCTTTGAGGAACTGTCACATTCGTTAATGGCAATACGTTATTGTACCGATCATTTATTAGGTGACGGCGAGGTAGATATTTTTGCTTCGAGAAGGAAGTGCGTGACCAATTTTAGTATGCGATTGCATCCAGAAATCTCATGATTGCCAATCATAAAAATGATCAAATACCTTCAATGTATTACGACTGACGTTGAATTCTTGGCAGTTAAAATCAGGTCCCTCGTTGACTACAGCACACTGTCATTTTAGCAACATTACCGAGTTAGCGTTTACGAGCCACGAAAGAACTGACTCGTATTCACCATAAAAATGAAGTTCAATCATTAAATTTATAAGATAAGCCTTTGAGGTATTTGAGACTAATATTGACCTTTTGGCAGTTAAAATCAGGTCCGTCACCTTTGTTGGCAACATCGTACTGTCATTTTAGCAGAGTTATCAAGTCAACATTCATGAGCCACAAAAGCACTGAGAAATATTCGCCATAAAAAGTACAATTATAAAAATGATTAGATATGCCTTCAATATATTGAGACCGATATTGACATTTTGGCAGTTAAAATCGGTTTCGTCACCTTCATTAACAACAGTACATTGCAGTTTCAGCAGCGTTATCAAGTCGGCGTTCATGAGCCATAATAGTGCTAAGACATATTTGCCATGAAAAGGAAGTGCAATCATAAACATGAACGGATATATCTTCGACGTATTGAAACTAATATATATGTCTTGGCAGTTAAAATCAAGTTCGTCACCTTCATTGGCAACAGCACACTGTCATTTTAGCAGCTCTATCAAGTCAGCATTTATGAGCCACAAAAGCACGAAGAAATATTCGCCATAAAAAGTACAATTATAAAAATGATTAGATATGCCTTTGATATATTGAGACCGATATTGACATTTTGGCAGTTAAAATCGGTTTCGTCGCCTTCATTAACAACAGTACACTACAATTTCAGCAGCGTTATCAAGTCGGTGTTCATGAGCCATAATAGCGCTAAGACATATTTGTCATGAAAAGGAAGTGCAATCATAAACGTGAACACAGATATATCTTCGACGTATTGAAACTAATATATATGTTTTGGTAGTTAAAATCAAGTCCGTCACCTTCATTGGCAACAGCACACTATCATTTTAGTAGTGTTATCAAGTCAGCATTCATGAGCCACAAAAGCACTAAGAAAAAATCACCATAAAAAAAGGCGCAATCATTAAAAATAATCAGATATGCCCTTGATATATTGAGACTAATATTGACATTTTGGTAGTTAAAATCAAGTCCGTCGCCTTCATTGGCAACGGCCCACTCTCACTCTCATTTTAGCAAAGTTATTAAGTCAGAATTCATGAGCCACAACAACACTAAGACATATTCGTTATACAAATGAAGTGCGATCATAAAAGTGGTCATATATATCTCCGATGTTTTGAGATGGATATTGACCTTTTGACAGTTAAATTTAGGTATGTCACCTTCATCGGCAATAGCACATTGTCCTTTCAATAGCGTTATCTAGTCAGCATTCATGAGCCACAAAAGCACCAAAACATATTCACCGCAAAAAAGAAGTGCAATCATAAAAAAATAATCAAATATGCTTTTGATATGTAGAGACTAATATTGACCTTTTGGCAGCTAAAATCAAGTTCATCACCTTCATCGGCAACAACAATCTGTCATTTCAGTAGTGTTATCAAGTCAGCATTCATGAGCCACAGCAACACTAAGACTGATTAGCCATGAAAAAGGAAGTATATCTTAGATGTGTTGAGACAACCAATGACCTTTTGGTAGCTAAAATTAGGTCTGTCACCTTCATTGGCAATAGCACATTGTCTTTTCAGTAAAGTTATCAAGTTAACATTGATGAGCCACAACAGCACTAAGACATATACACCATAAGAAGGAAGTGCAATCATAAAAATGATAAGATATGCATTCGATGTATTGAGACCGATATTGACCTTTTGACAGTTAAAATTAGGTTCATCACCTTTATTGGCAACAACACATTATCATTTAAGCAGCGCTATCAAGTCGGCATTCACGAGCCACGACAACATTAAAACATATTTACCATAAAAAGGAAGTGCAACATAAAAGCGATCGGATGTATCTTTGATGTATTGAGATTGATATTGACCTTTTGAAAGTTAAAATCAGGTCCTCACCTTTATTGGCAACAACACACCATCATTTTAGCAGCCTTATCAAGTCAGCATTGATGAGCCATAACAGTACTAAGAGGTATTTTACATAAAAAGGAAGTTCAATCCTAAGAATGATAAGATATGCCTTCGATGTATTGAGACTGATAGTGATCTTTTGGCAGCTAAAATCAAGTTTGTCACTTTCATTGGCATTAGCACACTATCGTTTTAGTATCAAGGCATCATTCATAAGCCACAACAACACTAAGACATATTTCCCATTAAAAGGAAGAGCAATCATAAAAATGATCGAATATGCCTCATATATATTGAGATTGATATTGATCTTTTGGCAGTTAAAATCAGGTTCGTCACTTTCATTGACAACAGCATACATTCTTATTAGCAGCGTTATCAAGTTGGCATTCATGAGCTACAATAGCACTAAAACATATTCGCCATAAAAAAAAAAGTGTAATCATAAAAAGGATATGCCTTCAACGTATTGGACGGCTATTGACCTTTTGGCAGTTAAAATTAGGCTCGTTTCTTTCATTGGCAATAGCACACCGTCATTTTAGCGGCGTTATCAAGTCAGCATTCACGAGGCACAAAAGCAATCAGGACATATTTGCCGTAAAAAAGTGCAATCACAATAGCGCTCGGATATATCTTCGATGTATTGAGACCGATATTGACCTTTCTAGCAATTCGAGTCAGGCCCGTCCCCTTTATTGGCAACGACGCACTGTCATTTTAACAGCGTTATCAAGTCAGCCTTCACGAGCCACAGAAGCACCGACACATATTCGCCTTAAAAAGGAAGGGCGTGACCATAACAGTACGTGATTGATTAGCACTTAAAATCTCGGGATTGGCATGGCATAAAAAAGGACATAAATCCGGATGTCGAATAGGGAAATGAGGATAGGGTTTACACCCTGGAAGGCAAAAGAGGCAACACTAATATAGGAATTAAGGTTGTCACATGTGATAAATAGGTTGCCTTCAATCGCGGGAATCGGCTGAAGTGAATCCGATGCACTTAAAAAAAAGTGTCGGACGTGGACGGTGGAGCGCCTCGGTAATTGGTTACTTGCATTTTTCTTAATAAGAGGCGGAGAAAATATCTGACCTGGATTTACACACAGAAAAAAACACAAATGGATCGAGAAATCGAGGGAACCGGTGGTGGGCCAGACGTGACGTGAGCAAGTGACGCACGTTGACCTCACTGTCCCGGTCTGAATCAGCAAGTGGAGCTAAGAAAAAGAATCCGGGAGTGCCTGAATGGGCCGTTTCGAGGCCCATGTTCTTCATGGGCCGTGTCAGGAAGCAGGTCATCATGGAGCCCAGTTTTGTACGCATTTATTTCGTAAAAAATGGAACGATTTCGTGAATAAAATATCGTTTATATCGCTTCCAAAAGATATAAGAGTGAAAAGATTTCCTTCAACGGCCAAAATATTTACACATGAATTGGTGTTGATAATAAAAACAATTTCTGCTAATTAATCCTTTTTAAGAGATAAATAACTGTTTTCAGAAAAATATTTTGAATTTACTCACTTTCCCGCGAGATTAAACAGTATCGAGAGCAGCATTACTTCGTCCCACTACACAAGCCAAAAGTCATTCGGATTGCCGCTCGATGGCGCTATTGCAATCAACAGCAATATAGAAGGGTGGTTTTGAATTGCCCAACAATCGAACCCATGTCCGACCGGGCCAAAGGAGCCCAGTGAATGTGTCAAAAAGGCCTTATCGGGCCCAAGTCTTATTGGGCTAGTCTTTTGGGGATCTCCGACGAACAGCTATTCATTCTCCGAATCCGACACACCCCAAAATGCTTGGAACTACAGAACTCGAATTTTCTCTATTTAGCCGGAAAAAACAAAAAGTCTGAGTGAGGTGTGGCCTTGTTTTGTTATTCAGTCGACGAGGGCTCTCTCAATATGAACAGG